TACAGGTTATATAAACGATGGTTCAAAAAATATTTTGCTTAAAAAGTAGCTCTCTTTAAATTAAATGTAATGTGTCGTAGTGATGACAATTTAAGAAAATTTTAGAATTAGTTTGTATTTGCTTAATATCTTTAAGGTAAAGTATATTAACGTCTAATGTATATTATTGTCTAAAATAATTTTGACAAAAAAAAATATGGGGTAGACCTGACTGAAGTGTTGTGCGTGGTATCATCCTGGTAATGTATAATTCTGACAAAATAAATCATAAAAATTGTTTTGCTTAAACTGGGAAATATATACAATATATTTCTGTATAAATTCGAGTGAACATGCTAGACTTGTACATTATTAACATATCTCTTTCCGTGCAGTAAAACCGCACAAGTTGCTGCCTTGATATCCCTGTAATTTTAGATATCGGGGTTAGTGATATCCTCCGCCGCATTTAAATTATTTCGAGAAAAATAAGCATTCCTCCCCCACAAATCTAATTTATCACTGAGCCGGTATATACCTAAACACAATATGGGATTTTTCCGGAATGATTAATGACGCGCTTCCACGACCGGCGCTCCGGGCAAAACAATATTATTCCGGCCCTGAGTTCTGGCGGAGCAACAGGGTCCCGATAGCCGGCAGTAATGTACACGGATAAAGCTATGCAGTTCCCTACAAGGAGCCACCGACCCATTCCTGGGAGTGGATCAACAAAAGGCAACACTCGTGATCCTCCGGCGGCCTAGCCGGGGCCGTAGGGTCGATTTAATGAGTTTTAAACCGCGCGATGCGAAATTCGAGTGTGTTTCCGGGGATTTTCCTGATAACTAATTTAGTAAATTAGCCGGCAACTCGAATTAGAGGTAAGCGTCAGCGCTGGGAAGCGCGCTGCGGTCAGAGGTGGGATTACGGGCATCTGCGGGGGGCTCCTTGCGCACCCCTCGGTCGTCTTGTCGGCAAGCGCTTTTTTTCTTCTATTTTTTGATTCATAAATATGAAAATTGCTTCAGCTATACTGGGTGTCGCAATATTCCGTGCATACAATCTGTTTGATTATAAAGGCCCCAACCTATAACTCGGTTACCCATTTTTTGATACCCTGTAAATATACAGGGTGTCCGGGAAAATGTAGGAAATCTCTCGGGTGCAAATAGAACATGAAAAAATAAGATGACGAGTTCCTATAAAAATTTTTCGTACGAAAGTCATTTAAACAACAGGAAAGTCATTTTAACATGTTTAATCCGAAAAAATACAAAATTAAAAAAAAACGCGGTGGTGTCCCAGGCACCTTAACGAAATTATTGAAAAACTTCATAAGAGGGTTCAACATGGGCTCCGTGAAGTCTGATACACTCGCGGGCACGACGAATTGAGGACTGCTGTACCCGCCACAATAACCCAGCTTGTTCATTACCACATCACAATGACACGTGATTCTCTGTAGAAGTTCCTCCTTAGTGTCGACCGGAGTGGAATACACCAATTGTTTGAGGTGTCCCCGCAGGTAAAAATCCAGAGGGGTTAGGTCGGGAGATCGAGCGGGCCTCCTCTACCTATCCAACGGTTTGTATAGACGTTATTCAGGTGCTCCCGCACACCAGCGCTGGAATAAGTTGGTGCCCCATCGTGCATGAAGTACATGTTTCGGCGGGTTTCAGTTGGTAAGTGTTCTATTAAATCTTGAAAAGCGTTCTGAAGGAACTCCAAATAAAGTTGTCCATTCAATTGTTCCGGCAATACGAATGGTCCAACAAAAAAATTGCCAATGATTCCTGTCCAGATGTTAATCGATTGGAACTGATGTTGATGATGCGAAACAATAGTGGCATGAGTATATTCATCAGCCCATACATGTGTGTTGTGTAAATTGATGATACCATTTTTGGTAAACCTTGCTTTATCCGTGAAAAGAATAGTGATAATGAAGTTTACATTATTTCGTTGCTGATCCAATAGCCAGTTTGCAAACTACGAGGAAAATCTTCAGGAATCAGTTCATGTATTTTTTGCAAATGGTATGGATATAACAGCTGTTCTTGAAGAACTTCATGTACTATTGTTTTCGATGTATTAAAGTATGCTGATAATTTATATACAATTTTTACCTATTAAATTATATTAAGTACTTTAAAAGTTATCCAAGAAAAACCGATTTCCAGCGTTTCCCACATTTTCCCGTACACCCTACCCTGTATATATTTTTAAATGGGGTTATTTTCTTTATACTGACGCACAATTTTTTTTTCTTCACACTGGGTGAGTGGTGACGTCATCGATATTTTTTTAAATGGGAATGGGAATGGGAATTTCGGGTTTTAAGATCAATCCATTTGTTATTTTGTATGTCTGTGTAATTTTTCGGTTATTTATCTTCTATGCTACAGAGCCAAGATAAAAATCGAAAAAAAATAGTCAAAATGGAAATGAACCTCCTAATTCGTTTGAATATTTTGTGTTAATTTTGACGAAGCAGCATCCTACGGGAGGATTACAGTCGAATTTAAGGGATCCTCTGTACGCGTTTGCCGATTCCCCGAATCTTTCGGAAACCGACACCCCATTTAACAAGAATGTCATCGGCGTCGGAGCCTCGCGTACGAATTAATTCATTTTTTACCCGCGACATGAATTCCTCGCGTATAATAAGGAATAAAAAGGGGGCGTCGAGGAACGATGAATGGTAAGAAAACACCTATCAAATTGATAAAGGAAATAAGCAGGACATTCTCCGTTTGTCAGGCAGTCGGTGGTTGGCGAATTTATGGCATTCTTCGGAACGCTGGCGCGCCATCACCTCCACAAAGAGAAAACGAGAAGGGCACCGCTATTATTTTAACTGAGAAAATTCTGCGGACATCCAGATGCCGACTTCTTATTCACGGGCCTCCTTTTCACCAGACAAAGGGAACTTGAGAACCGCGCAGCCGTATATACAACTTTTTTCATCGCCCGTTCCGCTCCCTTGTGTTTCGGTGTTGATTTATGAAATACCGGCCAATTGGCGGGGAATTAATTGAATTATTATCGATATTTAGACCGCCTGCATAAAAAATAATCCGATGATATCGCCAGAACCACCAATTTAAAAATACATAATTGCGGTCGTTTCGCACAGAAAACGCAAATGAAAGAAATACAAGTGCTTTCGGTTTAACGTTCCAAATAAGACAAGGTATCTGGGAAATGGTGGGTAATCTCGCCCATTTTGGTAAATGATTAATATAATGAAGAAAAATGCAATATGATCGACCGAATTGGTTCACTTATTTCGGTGCCAAAATTGTGACAATATCTTTTTGTACGGATCCGGAAATTCCCATGACGTCATATACGAAGCATCTGGTCTTTATAATCTAAGTGGCAACATACAATTCTTTTCATCAAGGTTCGCTTATAGTCAGTCACCATGTACGTAATGTACTTAGTATATTATTAGGTCTAGTAATACTTTTCGCGGCACACACAAACAACTGCGAACCTTGTAATTTTGCCCAGACAGTCGCTAGGAAGGGCAACAGACGGCTAGACGGGTGGTTGCAGTACAACTGCCACTTAAGAGCTGTTATTGACTTTGAAACACTGATATATTTTCCCATAAAATGAAATGGTAGTACGGAATTATTGTGCCTGTAAAAAATCGCAAAGTTATAAAAAATTTAACGTTGATATTGGATTTTTACGATTAATTAAAAATTCTGTTAAAAAGCAAGTTTCTATTTAATGATCACTGTCGAGTGTTTCATCATGTTTCAAAGCAAAACATAGTTGGGGGGTTTAAGGGTCCGATCTTTGAACAAGAAAACTCACCCTTATGGACAACCATAGTGGACAATTATATGTTTAATAAACTTTACACACCAGTTGGGTTTCTTCTAGATTTCGTTCATATTTAGTCCAGGCATTTGTATTTGAAGTCATCTATTTTATTGTACAGAAAAATTCCAAATATTATGAGGAATAAGAATCCGACAGGGAAAAATATGTCAAAAAACGGGCCAGTTTTCGTTCTTTTTGTATGTTTATTGTTCCTTTGAATTTAGCTGTTTTTTTGGAATAGGCAAACTTGGATTCTTGTTCTACATAATATTTGGGATTTCTCTGTACAACAATGTTTAACAAATTAGTTTATTTCAAACACAAACGCCAAAGCCTACTTTTACTGCTCTATCGCCTGGACTAATTCGAAAGTTGAATTTAATAGATTCCAGTTGAATTCTTACTAGATTTGACTTAGTCCAGTCACTGAAAGCGAAAATAAGGTAAAAGCTCCCAATTTTTTTGGATAGCATGGATTTTCCTGAAAATTTACATACAAGCTCATCTGACCCCCACTTCAAAAGTTATATTGCCTAGATGTGTGCTTTTTCCTATTTGTGTGAAAATCACAGATTTACGTATTTTAAAGATTCAATTCATGTTGAAATATGTTGGGTAAAGTTCCTTTCATGTTTTTTAATATAATTTATGAAATTTAATTACTTTTCAACCCTTAAAAATTCTTAAAAACTACCATGGCCAAAAGAATAGGAAAAATTTTTTTTAACAGTTTAAAATATTCAGTTGTTGCATTCACAATGTATTGCATTTCCTTTGTTATTCATTAGAAAGCTTACGACTTTTTGAGATATTCGCGAAAAATGGCTCAAAAACATGCATTTTTTAGGTTAAAAACAAACATGTTTAGGCGCAAATAACTCAAAAAGTATTGACTGTACAAAAAAATCTTATAGAACATTTTTTGCTTAGAATTCGTCCCTTTATCGAATCGTGAGGTTATTTTTAATAAAATAATTCCCACCCTCCAGAAGGGGTGGCATCCACCCCTAGGGTAAAAGCATACATTGGCACTATATAACTTTTGTTTCTTGGACTATTCCTTAGCTACAGTTCAAATTTCATGTCAATTAAGTCCATCCGAAAAAATTGGTAGCCAAAAGGCTAACTAGAATAGTGTCGAATACGACAATAGGAATTAAAAAAATGGTTCTGCGACTCACCTGAGCTGGGTGTTGGCGTTCGCCGACATAGGTGATCTTGCGGGAAAACCAGGCGCCCTCGGGCTCCCACTGAGCACATACTCTGAAACAGAATATCAGATTCGGAACAAAGTGAATTTCAAGATACGCAGCTACTGGAACGCAGTGCAAACTCAGGGCTAATTAAACTATAAATAGTTAACAGACTCGGTTTTAATTTATTTAAGAAGTCGTCAGCAGACGAGAAAGTAAAAGTGAAATGGGATTTTCGTATACGCGACTCGGTTTTCGAGCGGTAGGTTGCTGTCGCAGGAGAAAATAGTGAGGTTATGTTCCACCATCCCCCAGAAATAAGCGTAAGCATTTCTAAAACGAAACACTTGGTATAGAGAACTCTCTTGGGGAATGTAAGAAAGTTACAGCTGATAGAGTGCAGTGTAGGAGTAATATAACATTTAACAAATCCACCAAAGGTTATCCGAAAATGAAAGGCGCCCACACCACAACATTCAGGAGAATGTCTCTGTCCGCCTAGTTTTTGCAGGCATTACGCTCCTACCAGACCTGATGGTCTTAGAGTTCTTGCGTAAACGCGGGCAAAAAAAGGTCACCTGTAGCCGTCTGGGTCCTCGGAGATTTAGGGAAATAAAATAGAACTGGAAACTAACAGTCGTATTGGCAATTTGTTGTTGCGAATCCAATTCTGCCGGCTGATTTAACACCAGAAAAAACTAAGTACGGTTTGAGGATTCCCAACGCCTTTTTTTTGGGAAAATGAGATTGAAATATTTCTTAACATTAGAATACTATAAATTGCTGGTTTCATGATTGATCAATAACACCTACATTATCTTTGAAATGAAGACATTTGCTCAACCAACAGAAATATTTTCCTTAGAAACAAAAATGTAGATGTAAGAAACGCACTTTGTAATAATACGAAGTTCTCTGCGACGTTCCGGCAGTAACAGGAGGCAGCTCATTACGAAATCACTATTTTCCTCTTTCCGTCCATTATTCATATCTATATCTATTCCCCACGGCGAGCGGACGATATTTTAAGAATTTAAATTTAATCAGCATAATACACGGGTACGGCTCGGAAAACGTGTATCAAAACGGAATAAGAAAAATAGCGGCAATAATTCTTGATGGTGTCGAGTTGACAATTGCCTCTCCCCCAGTATCTCCGGTGTCAGGGGAACAATGTTTCAAACAAATGTTGCTCTCGCCGTTCATAAGCGGAACGACTAATACTGAATTAGGGCGTTCCATGCACACCGACTGTCGCTAATTAATGTACACCTGTATCAATAAAAAAAACTGTCACTTTAGCTATAGTATCTCTTACAGTTCATTATAAACAGCAAACATATTTGTTTCAAACTACCAGTTCCTTAAAATATATTTTTATATTTAAAATTTAGTATTAATGTGGGAATTATTCAAGACAAATGTAGCATATTATAATCAAACTTATGTTTACTTGAAAGAAAATTGTAGGTCACAGAATGGCGTAGCGTAGCACTTACGCTCTGTGTATACACATCTCCTTCTGAGTAACGACACTAAAGCAGCTGGATCGTTCTAACGACATATTGATGAGGACCATCAATAAGTCCCAAACCGACCTATGTCTGGTTGGTTAAACTTACGAACGATCCTATCTGTTGTACTAGGTGTTGTGAGTGTGAAACAAAATATTTTTTATTACTGAGAAATATTTATATCCAAATACATCCTTAAAATAAGTATATACAATCATTTGACCAAAACTATTAAATTTTGTATTAAACAAACGATACATTAATATACAATACAATATATTTATAATACTACGATTAACAAAAGAAATATACCACTAAGAAAAAATTAAACTAAGACTTTAAAGTTTAAAGTAAATATTTATAGGATACATTTAAAAAAAGATAAATAATATCAATGATTGGTCTGTGCTTGAATATTTTTACATAATACATGTTGAAATCGGGTGCTATTGTCGTAAGTTCAATCGAGTTTCAAATTCTGCATTAAGGGCTTTGCGTTTTTGGTTGAGTCGCGGAACCCCCAGACAGGTTGTGGGGAACCCCAGGGCCCCAGGGTTTCGCGGAACACAGTTTGAATACTACTGGTCTAGTCCAAGTTCAATGGCAGCTCAGTTTCACTTCAAGCCAGTCCCAGTCCTAAGTAGAAAACCAATTAAAAAAATTAGTAACAATATTAGTTTAAAATCCAGTTGTTGAAACAGATTAAAGATTAAAACACATCGAAGTAAACTAAAGAACAGTACTACAAATAAAATAAAGTGAAGTGTCGATCGTAACATAAGTTACCTGAAGAAAAATCCTATAAAGTTGGAATAAGGCCCTAAAAAAGGTTTTCAAGAGCAAATGTGATAGGCGAGGCTGAAGTTTGTCAGTAAAGAAGCCCCCAAGGACTGCAACTCACAAGACAGACAAGTTTTATGATAGTTTCCTAAGCGTGAGTGGAACCATATACTGGGTGATCTGGAGAAAAGAAGACACCACAACGACAACGGTATACAAATACAAATGAGAATAAACACACAGGACAAGAGGCAGATGTTAAAAAGTGAGTTCTAAGCCATATTTATAAACTGTAAACTTAGACTAAAAAGCTAAAAAGTAGCTAGAGGTTAGGGACGATAGGTTGTTTCGCGATCATTGAATGTTTCCAAATTATTTTCTTTGTAATAAAATCATCAATATTTTTTTTATTTGGGTTCTTAAACAACCTTGGAGATACGAGCGTATTAGCATCTACTTGCTGGCGTTCGAGCAAACCGAGAGAAAGGGATAAAACATTTTATTTTCCGTGCCAGGACAAACTGCAGGAAAGAAGTTCTTTAATGGTTCACTTTAAGATGTCGTAAATTAACTGTTCGGGGAGAATAAGAGTGGATACAGAAAAAGATCATTATCAAATGGTAGATAAAATAGGCATTGCCCGTACACGGATGGCGGAAGTTTTGATATCGTTAGGCGGCAACGAAATGCCGTCCCGGTTTTACATTACGAACGGCGCGTCGGTAAAAAGAGGAGTAGATGGCACTACAGACGGAACATTTCTAGCGCCGTCAAATATTTCGTCACCGTTTTGTCAGAAACTAATTCTTAACCTTTAAACGCTGAGTGTTAAAGTATTTGAAATGAAATTAATGATCTCGATGACATTCTGAGAGATAAAATTTATGATAGTATAGATACTCGTCAAACTAAAAAAAATATAGAAACTATTGAAAATTTAATTTCAGCATATTACTTATGACCTCAACTAATAGGTTTAATCAACAAACCTGTCAAGCTGAAGTAATAAATTCCCTGTACAGCTGCAGTTACTCGTAGTACACAAAGTAAGTGTCGATTTGTTATTTTCGCGGACGGTGTTTTTGCTTTAAGTGCCTTTGTTTAAGAGATTTGTGTAACACCGGCAATAGTTGCAAACGGTAGAGGAATGTCAGCGGTTCTCAACAAGTTTTCTATTAAAAAATCGGAAATACATTTTTTAAATATGACTTTTATATAACTTTTAGTTATATATTCTTCACAATCAAGTCTACTGTTGCTACAACTAACTCGGTCTTGTGATACCAAGTCACTGGCAATACCTTCTTGTCTTCCACTAATCGATTGCCCGTAACTTGAACTTTCAAGTGTTGTAGCAACGGCTGGATCCGAATTATGCACGTCAATTATAGCGGAGGTAGTAAAATGATGATATCAACGGAATTATAAAAGGGTATTTGTGCGGCCATCGCCGCGCTATCGATCGCCGTCGATGCGGGACGAGTCCGCTGACGGAGACGGTCGTCTTCTTCAACGTATCGCCGCGCGCGCCGAGATTCGCCTCGATAAACATTCATTACCTGCAGCGCGGCCCCGCCAGTCAATTTAACCCCGCTCAATTTAGATTACTGTCCGAGACCGCTTTCCGTTTTCTTGTTTCTTCTGCCTCTCAACACATTTTAAATTAACAGTACATCTCCATCACCCTACGAATCGAAACCTACGGGAATGAATCGCCCGGCTCCGATAGAAACATAAATTTATATAGACCAAAAGATCAACGGCTGGCTATTGGTAAGAAACTTTTAGCTGATATCCGTGAATACAGAGTTTGGTATCAATCAAACATGTTCTGGCAAAAGCAATATCTCCACAGGCTTCATAAATGTTTACAAGCCATGTGACCGCCGAACTTAGGCAACCAACATTGCAGCTTTTTGTCTTAGTTGTCAAAAAAATGAAAAAAATTGCCTTTTATGTCGTACTGACGACTATTTCAAACAATCGTAGTCTCTTCTAAACTTTAAAGAACGTACCTACTTTTTCTACTTACTTTAAAACTATTTTTCTCAAAATAGCACATTGATAAACACATAAAATTCACCAGAGTACCTTATATTAGGTATAACGTGAATTGTTTTAGTTCCATTTCATTCGTTCAACAGGAGGTATGGACTTATTTCACAATAAGTATCCAGACCAGAGAATTAGTCGAGCTACAATAAAAGTATCCAAAAAGTTTGAAGAAACCAGACGAATAAAAGATTTACCAGGATCAGGAAGGCGAAGAACGGTAAGCAAAAATGACAGTTAAAATGTGATGCTCGATGTTACTGAAAATCCTTAGTCATCCGTTAGATATATCTCAGCCAACTTCAACTTATCGAAGTCCTCAGTTCACAAAACTCTGAAGTCTCAAGTGTGGCATCCTTAAAAAGTTAACGTCTTACAAGAACTATGGGCAGATGACACAGACAGAAGATTGCTGTTTTGCGAGGATATTAGAAATTTATTTGAAAGACAACCCAACTTTAAAAAATCACATAATTTTCAGTGACAAAGCAGCTTTTTGCTTAAATGGAACCGTGAACGGGCAAAATACCAGGATTTGGAGCTCAGAAAATCCGCATTGGTTGCAAGAAAAACATACACAATGGCCGGAAAAAGTGAATGTTTGGGCTGGAATAGTAGCAATTTGACAGGCGACATTTATTTGGATTTTTTGCGTTTTCAGCTGATTCCAGCCCTGAAATTAATTTTTCCTAACCCTAATGAGCACGATATGCCTTCTGGTGAC